CTCTCTATTGTCTGACCCCGCCCTTCTTGTTATCTCATTATTGTTTCAGTTACTCCACCTGTGTCTCCCTCGTTACCCTCCTCGTTTGTCTTCCTATTTATTCTCCTGCATGGTGTCTGCAGTCCTGGGCTGTTTCGTTGTTATATGTCTGAGACTTGAAGTCGTATGTGTAGTATGTTCCTTTTGCCTTCCCTTGCCTTGCCTTGCTTTGCTGTGCCCTGTCTTGGCCTGCCTGCCTGTTTTTCCCCCTCGGGGTAGTTTTTGTTGTAGTTTTGTTTTATTTTTACTATTAATAAATGCCCATATCATCCTGCATTTGAGTCTTCGTCTCATCTCTCTTCTGGGACCATGACAGAACGAACCAGCCAACCGAGGACTCAGCGGAAGATGGGCTCACTCCAACTACCAGCCTCCACTATCTGCAGCCCCCTCTACCAGTGGCGGCGTTTCACAAAACCATAGGGTATGGCAGTGGCGTAAGGGGTGGGGGGGTCACATTACTAAGTACTGAAATATAAAAAAAAAAGGAAAAGGAAAAAGCGAGTGCATCTGAGGCAGCAAGTGCATTGCATTATACACTTTCATAAACTTTACAGGTTATAACATTTATTGTACTGTAATGAATTAGTCCACTGAAGGCGAGCGTAGTGAAGAACCCAAGTGCAGTTTATTTACAGTGAATAACTTCTAAAGCTATTTGAAAACCTTGTGTGAGACGTAATTTCACAAACAGCGTGAGTGAATCACCGTGCGTGCTCTTTCTCTCTCAAAATACGCAAATTGCTTCAAATCACCACATCGTGTCTAAGCGAGCTGCACAGTTGACAGGAATTGTCACTTGCACAATCGAGGCAGTGTCACTAAAGTTTATAAATTGCATTACTTTTTAATTCTTGCTGTTTGTGTTTTTTTTTTTTTTTTTTCCCTGGGCTCATGTTAACGAATTAAAGCGTTCACTGCTCATGGTTGTGGTCCGGCAGTGTGTTCCACTAGCGGTGCGTCTGCAGCAGGGCAGAGCTCGTTTCCACACCGAGTCTATTGCTGCACTGCACATAGATGGCGCTCGTGGAGGTAGGAAAACAAAGTTCTTTATGAACTGCGGGATTGCTTGTAATAACGATTTCAATGCAAAAGGAAATGCAGTAGAGCTGACTATTTCTGTCAATGGTAAGTTTGTGATAATGTAAGAAAAGTAGTTTAAATGTTTTGCCACTTGCTTGAGCAACTTAATATATCAATCTAGAAGTAAATGCAAAAGTAAAAAGCATTGAATAATGTGTTGCTTATATTTATTGTGTTTAAACATGTCTGTGAAAGACTGTATTACTGTACTGTGTAAAAAAAGAATTACAATGCTGAAAAAGCACTTTCAGTGACAGTGTTTGGATTTGAAGTCAAAATAATGGATAAATGTCAGCCACAGATCAGGAGCGGTCTCCTGTGTGAAAACAGTCAGTGCTGCTTCCCCTCTCACAAGAGTCACCTAAGAGGGGAAATTCCCCCCATTCAAAAATGAAATTCAGGCCCTGAATAAATGTCTAAAAATCCTGATTGGAGTATCACTATAAATAGTTATAAATGATAAAAAGAAGGCTTTAAAAAGATCGGTATCGGCAGATACTGCTTTCTGTGATCGGCCTCAAAAATCCTGATCGGAGCACCCCTAAACTTGAGTCCTCGCTTCTTCCACTCACCCGCCCCGTGACAAGTATAGCCTTTAAAATATAAAGCTCTTCTATCTGTCCAACAGTTACATTTTTAAAAGTAGGCCTAAGTCAAGAAATGCAAGAAAAACCAACTTTGTTCGATGTCAAGCAATTTAGGAGAGAGTTGTGGTGAGACCAGGGTCTAACTAAATATAACATTTTGACTCAAATCCAATTAAACTAATGTGTGTTTTCTATGTTGGTTAAACAACCAATTCAGATATTTCTTATCCTTTTTTTGGAGTAAAATTTGTGAAACTAGCCCTAGTCTATGGATGTAAAGTTAACAAACACACACACACACACACACACACACGTTTGTTTCTGTGAATTGTGGGGACTTTCCATAGACTTCTATTACTTTTATACTGACCAAACGATTTCTATCCCCATAACCCAAGCCTAACCCTAAACCTACTCCTTACAGAAATCCTGTTTGCATTGTTACACTTTCAGACAAACATAATTTAGCCTACTATTTAAAAATGTTTTTGTCCCTTGTGGGGACTGCAGGCCTGTCCCCACAATGTCAAAAATTTAATGTTTTACTATCTTTGGGGACATTCGGTCCCCACAATGTAGCATAAACAAGTGTATACACACACACACACACACAAAGAAAAAAAGTTTTAATTTCAGTTTAACTTACCCAAAAGTGGTGACGTCTCAGGACATGATTCTAGTACGGTGGGTTCCTCTTCTACGTCATCTTTAATGACACTCCCATTAGAATAGATCAGTTTATTTACTTCTACCTCTGTTCCATTGTCATACTGGATGACAAGTGCTGCTGTTCTATGAGTTTGAGAAGTAAATATATCGGAGTCTAATTGAACTTTCCGGTAATTGGTCAATTTTGTGGTAGACTCTGTTAAATAAAAAAACAGTGCAACGATGAGGTGAACCCCGCAGAGACACACGAGCACGACGCAGGGTTTAGTGAAGAACCCCACATTGACCAGCACCGACTCCTGCATTCTCACAGAACTACGGGAGACCACTTCATTTGCGAAGAACAAAACTCTGTAAGAACAGAAACACCTGTGCCTCGTCGTTCATCAGATGATGACCAGGATAATCCTTTTCCTGAAACTTGTTATGATATTGATCGCGTCTGGCCACTGTTTTCTCGGCATTGGTGAAGAGAAGTCTTGAGGAGCGCAGGTCCACTGGAGTGACAGCAGTGGGCGTTTCTTGCTCACTTTAACAGTAGTAGAAAAGGCTACGACCTATATATATCATAAGGCTGATAATGCAATAAAACAAACAAACAAACAAACAAACAAACAAACCAAAAACGTCTTTAAAAATGAAAAAAGGGGAAATTTATAGAGTTTCACCTTAGACTATTTTATAACAAACACACACACACACAGCATCTGCATATAATTTACCAAACATATAAGGCTTTACAAATCGCTCATGTGTATTTGGAAATACAGTGGCCCGAGAAAGAATTTGAACAATTAAGACACACTTTAAAATGTATGCATTAGCAAAAAAATGATCAAACCAAGTGGTATCCGCAAACAGACAATTTCTCAGAACTAACTTTTCTTAGAAGTGCCTTCAAGTTCACACAGGTGTAGTTATCACATAGGCTACATGGAAATACACTGAAAAATTCACTAACGTTTGACAGCCTGAAAGTGGTAATATGGTAATGAGCTTGTCATTTTCTTATACAATTCAATAACACTGTTTTTAAGTATTCACGTGTCTTTTGGCTTGACATTTTGAAGTCGCTGTATGAAAATATGCGAATCAATTAGACATAGGCTACTGTATCTTGTACCGTAAATTATTGGGTCCCTAAGCTACAATAAATCGGGCTTCTTTCAGAAACTGATCATATTATTTATATTAGTTAATATTTCCTCTGTTAGTTCAAAAAATTCCCAAGATATTTTTGAAGGTACAGATTTTACATAAGATATCTTATATGACAGGTACTTTAATAGTCTGTTGGAAATAATTCATGCAACAGTCATTAAAGTCAGTGATTGATTACTGATGAGATGAGCTCTTCTTTTCTCATCAACAGCGCCCCCATGTGTTGGTTTGCGTGATCAACGGCACATCCTGCTATAACATGATTTCTCGCTGTTCCCTGGTGGAATGAATGATCTGCCCAACTCAATCCGAGAAGCTGTCCTTAGCCGACTTCAAGAAACGGCAAAACACATCTCCCTCTCTATTCTTTTTCTATTTGATCTACTTGTGTTCTTTTTATTTATTTGAGAAACGTGACCCTCTAACACCTGCTCTCTTTATTCTATTTTTTATTCTAACTAGTTGTTTTCTTTTTTATTTAAAAAATTACCCTTTAGCGTTATCGATTCTTTTTCTATTCTTTTGACTTGTTTTCTTTTTATTTATTATTTTAAAAAATTGCTATGTGTACTGCGTTAGACTAACCGAGACTTGTCATAGTACTTACAGTACATATAATTGCTCTTTTGTTGGTTTTGATTGCTTCTTTTGTCCTCATTTTTAAGTTGCTTTGGATAAAAGCATCTACTAAATGACTAAATGTAAATGTTACCTGCCCTTCTTCTGCATCTAGTTTCATTGCCATCCTAAGCAAATATTGATGTTGAAGTCATTTATTTAGTTAGTTAGCTAGCTAGCTAGCTAGTCCTGGCCATGATTTCTAAATTTCCTAAAATGTCCAGGTTTTACCCTTGTTATGTCCACGTATTTGCATTGCTTTGACTGTTCTCTGTGGATCCCACTTTCTCACACGCCACAAATGGTTGATAAATGCCTGCACACTCTTGATCAAACTGCTTTTCAGTCGTTATAGCTACCTTCAGCAAGAGGAAAACAAAGCCAAACACTGGATATTTTATGCAATTTAGAAGTCCCTGCCAAGACTTGTCCAGGAAAAATGTTGTGTTATGAAAGATAATAACAAATTAGATTGTGATTTCTCTGATCATTTCTGATCATGATTGTTTAGATCATTCTTAATGACATAAATCAGATTTTTTACATTTTCTTTTTTGAAAGTTGCTCAGGATAACAGAGGTGAGCACCGTGTTTGAATTCAGAGTGGGTAGGCCTACGTTTCAGCAGTGCTGTAACACACAAACAGAGAAATGGTGAGATCTAAATCATCTGCTCTAGTTCAACAGCAAGTCTTATCTATGTTTGGACTACTATTACACAGTAACAGTACAGTCAATAAAACACAGTGGCACATCTCTCTTAGAGAGAGTTACACTAGTGTGTGGCTTGGGTCAAAGGTCATCCAGTCATGTGACTAGATATCTATATCCTGATTCATGAAGTGAAAGCTTTACTTCATAACTTAGTACATTGGGACTAGAGTTTGTTATGAAGGAGAGCAACTTTATGGTCTAAATAATCTTTGCCTATAAGCGACTGAGGAGAAGAGTATTGCTCCTGTACTCCACCAGCAGAACGGCAGTCTTCGGAAATTTCAGAAATCATGTGAGTTACTTCTGCTTTTGAAACACTTTTTAGTGTTACAGACAGAGAATATTTGACAGTATAATTGATATTCTGCATTCTGTGCACTTTTTTATTTAAATAAAGCATGTACATTTTACATATACTGTTTAGATACCGTTGATTCTGAGATAAATCTTCACTAGTTTTATATTTTGATTTAAAATAACATATTTTAACATATTTATATAAAAATAAGTAAATATATATTTTAAACAAAATTCAAAGTGGGTTAGTGTATGTTCTGTGAGGCATATTTATACTTACAAAGACATTATATAGATATTGTTAAAATGTATTTAAAATTAATTGATCATTAATACTATTAAAAACTAACATAAATAGAAAAAATGGATTTTTAGTGCAAACAAGGGACCTAGAATTCAAACCAAAAAAAAAAAAAGTTGGGGCAATTTTTCTGTTGATATGGGGAAGTGTTCACACTGGTGTGTGATAAATCCTTTATGTTAATATGCAAATAAAATATGTTTTTAGGGCACAACGTCTTATATAATAACAATATAAATGATGATAATTACCCTAAAAATAATGCTTACTTTGATTAGTACGTGGGTCAGTTTGATCACAATTTAACAGAATTTAATCACTGAAGCTGTTTTCATTCAGCTTCTATTTTTCATTCATGCTGTGCTCTAACCCCTCGCTCATTCTTTCTCATTTTGCTCTCTGTCCCTCTTTCTCTTAGGGAGGAATGTCAGAATGGAATGTCAGTGGATTTGTTCCTGCATTGCTCTCTTGTTCCTGCTGTGAGTGCTGCCTGCATTTGTCCAGACAAAACTCTCTCCCCTCAAGACAAACATGCAACACTTTTTCTAGAACAGGAAGTGATGCTTCACTGTTAGATAAGAACTGACATGATTATATGAATTTTAGATTATATTTCTATACTTACTAGTTGGTGTCAACTGGTGTATCATCTTGTATATCACCTTGTGTTTCATGGTGTATTAGAATCGTTAGACATCTATCATTTGTGCATTTGTAATATAGTTGTATTCCTTTGTTTTTCAGGTCTGCATTGTGTTTCTGCTCTCATTTGTACAGCGCAGAGCGAGGGCTCAGCCCTTTGAGGATCGCTTCCCATATCTCAGGGGTCGATTTGGCATTGTGGTGTGAGTGATATTTGAACAAAATCTGTAGATCTAAGTTTAATATACATGCTTTTAGATGTCTAAGTGCTTTTTTAAGTTTTGAGTGTGTTTGTGTGTGTATTTCTTCGCAGGCCGTTGGATTTCATTTGCAGTCTAAGTAACCGATGGTCTTATGGTTTTGCATTTGGTGCTATTGCTCCCAGTGTGATTCAGCTTTTCTCTGAGTCCTACGCACCATTTACTGTGCCTAACTGGGCTAAAGGTAGTTTAAATTATATATACTCTTTGTGAATATTATGGATATGTATTGTGAATATAGTCTTGACTAAAGGAGTTCTATTATCTAGTTTTAATCAAAGGAAAGTTACAGTCCATCTGCTTGTGTGTCTCTTTCAGCCATTGTGTACCTGGTAGGAGCAATAGAAGTCGGTGTGGCCTACCTGCCATTCTTTGCTTGTCTTTCAACGCCACACCGATTACTAGGAGGGGTTTTAGGTCTTCTTTACACACTCACGTGGTACATGGAAACACTCTAGTTTTCTATTTGTTGTCGTAGCTGTAAAAACATTTGTGGGTTGTTGAACTGTTAATTTTTTTATATTTCATGGGTTTCAGGCTCATTGTGAGACTGTATGACACGATAAGCTGTCCCTCTGGAAGGGTAGGTGATTATGATTAATAATTAACTTTATTTTATTAATGATTAACTTATATTATTATCATATTATTATGCTTAAGTTAAGATTAGGTATAAGTTCAAAGTGTGCAATAGTGTCTTTGAATATAATATAATACTTATAAGTGACAGTGGATAAATGCAGAATTAAAGCCCATTTTCCTGGTTGCAGATTTTAGGTCCTTATGAGAAATTGATCATCCTGTGGCCGTTCTTCCTGTGTCTGTTTTTCCTGCTGGGACGGTTTGTGTGTATCATTGTGAAGGCAGCAAGAATCCACCTGCAGCTACTAACCGATGAGGTCAGATCATGAGTCTTGTTGTAACTTATGTTATTTTACGATAAGCAGTAGCGTTAATGCAAAAGCTCAAATAAAAACAATGAATAATACTTTTACAGTATTTATTAATCTAGGTTAACGTTAACTTCTTCATATGCATGTACATTTTTAACATGTTAAATTAACATGTACATAATGGACAAACATGAATCTACATTGAACAATAGTACAGGTATACTTATAAATTAACACAAGAGTAATGTTTCTCTGATATACAGAATGAGGAGGATCTAAACTTTCATCAGTTCATATATGTACAGACTCTACTGAAACGCCACCCTGAATGGTACACTTTCATTCAACATTAACATGCATTTATTACTTTATTCTCACCAGTCAGCCAATACTCATTCTTCTATTGCCCCTTAAGGCCAGAGGAAAAGAGTTGGTTTCGAAGGAAAGTGTATGACTGGGATCCTCACTTTAAATTCCCTAACAGGATGATCGGCACATCCATTATCTCTTTGATTGGCTTGTACACGGTCAGTCAGCACTCACTAATGTACACATCGTTTACTGAATTTAACTTAAAGCTAAAAAATGCAAATGTGTTTGTCTGTTTGTAGTTGACCCTAGCAGACTACAGCTTGAGTGACTACACTTTTGACAAGCTAGATGCTTTGATAGACTCTCTTGCAGAGATTGCATCGTCCTGTAATGAAACAAGCAATATGTTCACGTCACTCATTCCCAGGATGAAAGAGTTCAGCTTTGTTGCAAGAAGTAAGATATAAGATCCACCTCTTTTTCTTCTTGTCTTTTTGTTTCTGTCTTTGCACATATTTTATACTACCGTTCAAAAGTTTGGGGTCAGTGCCTTTTTTTTTTTTTAATTAATAGTTTTTTTCCAGAAAGGATGCATTAAATTGATCAAAAGTGACAGTATATATTTCAAATGTTGAATTATTGAATTATAATAATATTTCACAATATCACTGTTTTTACTGTATATTTGCTCAGATAAATGCAGCCTTGGTAAGCCTAAGAGGCTTCTTCAAAAACATAAAAAAAAAAAAATCTTACAGACCCCAAACATTTGAAATGTAGTTAGTAATAAATAAATGCATAGACAGACAGAAAGATACATGTGATGCACAGTAAATTATTTACAGAATATTTTCTTTTTCTCAGGGTCTTGGTTGGCGACGACTATTTTTTCCACTCTGACATCTGTTACTTACACTTTTCACGTGCTAGTATGTTACAGGTATGTTTATTTAAGCATTCTTTATGTACAAAATTCAACAATTAAGCACTTTCAGTAATTACCCAAAGGTAATGTAACGAGGCGAACGAGACGTGCGGATCCATTTGCAAGGCTTTATTTAGACAGAGACGTGGTCATAAAACAGGCATGGGTCAGACAATGGCAAGCAGGTCCATTACAGGCAAGACAAAAGAGTATCCAAAGGAAGCTGTGAGTCAGTCGACGGTGAACGCAATCCTGAGGGCGAGGCAAACGGGGAATCCACAAGACGAGCTAGAGCCCAGGTGAGGTGCAAACACAGTCCGAAACAGAAAGGCAAAGGGTAATTCTGAAACAGGATATAAATTCCAAGGCAGGCGGAGATCAGGCGAGACGAGATAACAGGCAAGGGTCAAGACACGGGTAAACAGACTAAGAACTAGGCTAGGCTAGGCTAGGCTAGACTAGACTAAACTAGACTTTTGTTTTTGCCCCCATTTGTCATGAGCTGAACTCAAAGATCTAAGACTTTTTCTATGTACACAAAAGGCCT